GCCTCTTGCAGTGAAACAAGAACAGGGGGTCAATGACCAACAGGCGGACATCAAGGATGAGAAACAGGCCACTGCTGTTCCCACGTTGGGATGGGCGGAAGACACTGTGGGCACGCCAGACACTCCGATGCTGCCGGCGAGCACACCGCAGTCACACAAGTCTGCTGGCTCTGGCCAGACAAGTGATCGGCCTTTCAATGCATTCTCAGCCCAGAATGTGACTCCGACGGCTGCCCCCACCGAGGAGACCGTCCCGCAGACCCCAGGCCCGGCTGACACCACATCATCCTCCCCTGTGGATGCCCCCTCTACGCGTGCAGAGGTCAAATACCAGGGACCGGTCACTACGACCAAGCTGGTGGAGTACAGTGTCAACCCCTCTCCAGAGCAAGAGGCAAATCAACTGCCAAAGCGAGATCAGATTATCCACATCTGCCAGTCTGACCAGATGCTGGAGTGGGTTCATGCCTTCGCGACCATTTCCATTATGAAGGAGCAGGCCATAGTGGGTGGCCTCACGGCCTCCGAGCAGGTCTACCTCTGGACCAATCGGTTTCGGGCACTGGGTAAGGTGCCATGGATCTTCGCCCCGATCAAGAAGGTCGCCACTGACAAGGATGCCAACTGGCTTGACATCACGCAAGCGCGGCTTATGGTCGGGGCCAATGGCCAATTCACACTATCCATTGGCCAAGATGATCGCTACACCGAGCTCAAGTCCACCACGACCTACTATGGCATAGTGCACGCCCTCTTTCAGAAGATGTGGGATCATCCGGACATGAGCGCACTGCTCGAAACGGATGACAACTTCGAGATCGTGGCCTCCACCTTCAAGTGCATCTATGACCAGTCCTCCAGGAAGAGTGGTGGCCAAAATCGCGCCATCTTCTACCAGCCTCGGGATGGTCAAGTTGTCCGCAAGCTCCGTATCGAACACAACAAGGGCGACACGGCCACCTACCAATGGCATCGTCAACGCGAGCTACGTGAGCAGCGTGAACAGCGTGACAAGCGCTCTGGTGAAGAGACACAGTCTCACACAGACAAGCGCTACAGGGACGGCGATGCCTGGACCCGAGGAGGGTGGTGGAATCGTGGCTCGGACTCGGGGGCCAGTGGCAGCCGCTCCTGGCACCAGTGAGCTCCAACTTTGATCACCGGTGCCAATGGCAACCTATGCAGTGCAATGCGGAGGCCATGCCTGCATTTCTACTTCGTTTCTTCCGGAACGGACTGACGGCCTTTCTGCTGATTGCCGCCGCTGTCAGAGAAAAACATGCCTCGCCTTCTGCCAGTCGCAGAACTGTGCCTCTGCTACTAGTGCTGCATAATCACTATCCTCGCTCAGGTACACACAACAATCTGAAGCTTGATGCCTGGCAGCCTACCAACTTCTTCGGCTGACCACTGCCAGTTAGCTGGAAGCCTATAGGCCGCCAACACCCAAAGGTCTTCGACCTGGGCTGTTCAGCTATAGGGTCTGAGTCAGTTTCACACCATGTGAGTGCACCGCGGCAATCGCCCGCTATGTGCTGAGCCCGCTCGCACAGCGTTCAATTGAAAATAGTAGTAGTAGTAGGAGTAGTAGTAGTAGTAGTAGTAGTAGTAGTAGTAGTAGTAGTAGTAGTAGTAGTGGTAGTAGCAGCAGTAGTGGTAGTAGTAGTAGTAGGAGGAGGAGTCGGAGAACCAGAAGCAGTAGCATTCATTCATTCCCCACGCAGCGAAAAGTCCGAGTTCGCCTAGCGAGCTGACGATAACCAGGTGTTCTGGTTATCGGAACCTCTGTTGGGTTCTGGAGGGCACGGGCCAGCTCCATCCACTAAGACTACACTTGCTCAAGCATCAGGCATCGTGAATAAGTACCTGACGCATCCACACAATACAGATCCGTCCATCATGTTCATTCCGGATCGGCTTCGCACTGCAGGAGTCATCCGTAATCCACTGATTTTCACCGCCAAACAGTGGTTGTCCCCGAAGGATTGTTCTATAATGCCCCGAATCAGGAGTTGCTCCGTAGTGTAGCTGCACTGCAACGACCTGATAGGATGCATACCAGACTCGCAATGTATCCAGCTCCGCAAAAATAGGCATACGAACATGGACCGAGGTCGTAACCATTGGCCTCACATCTCTGTGCATGGTCCCCTCGGCATGTGCAAAGCGCTGAATCTGCAGGCACAGCAGCGAAGACGGGGTTTGCAATGCATATCGTGCCGTCACCTGAGCACTCCACCCATCAATGGCTGCCTGGAGATCAAAGCTAGGACCTGCAGCTGGCACAATGGCAATCGGAGCATTGGTAGGCTCCGAATCCAGCGTAACAATGCCCCTGGGCGCGAAGTTCCTGGCCTCCCAACCTCCATTGAACCCACTGCGAAAGCCTGGGCAGAAGGTACAGAATCAGCTCAGCAGCATCATGTTGCCGATGCACAGATGGCCAGGCTTGCAGCAGCATAAGCCACGGTACCGAATGGAGCAGCTGAACGGGCTGATTGGGTGGATTGCCAACGGGTGGGCATAGCATGGTGAGAACCTGCGGTGGAGGCGAAATGCGAGCATCATGAAGTCTCGCCTGAAGAATGGTCCAATAGACGGCGTAAATAGTAGAGTGCAAATAGCACAGGTTAGATGGGTTGTAAAGGATCAGTCCAAGCGCAGCTTTAAGGCTGGGTCGCACACTCATGACTGCAGCTGATGCTGCCAAACCTCCTGAACCAACGTGTCGTAGTTCGGACGGTCCCGTCGCAGCCTGCACCCTAACGTGTGCCATGATGCCTGCCCGATCCACTGATTCAACGTGCTCCACATTGCTCCACCCTCCGGACGAAGGGATAGGCATATCTGAAACTGAATCCAATCGGACGTCACCTCCGTGGAGAGCTTCTTCATCGACTTGAATCTCACCAGGGTCTCTTCCGTAACTGCTTTCCTCATCTGCACCAACTGAGCCAGCAGACTATCCGCCGGGATAGGCCGCAATGAGCTGTCGATCTCCAAACGTTGCTGAGTGGGGTTCCAGGTTAGGTGCATTCAATGCTTTTGCTCGTCGATCCAGTTCAGTGCTTTGGCCCTGGCTAGGGCCTCCTCGTCCACGATCATGTTGGTCAGCCTCTGGTGCAGCGAGATCAACAATTGCTTGAACATGGCAAGCTTCAAGGAAAAGCTGATCTTCTCCGGTTCGTCTTCCTTCATGCGTCTCCACTTATCCGCCGCTTCGCAAAGTACTGGCACCATCCCGTCCGCTCCGGATCGTACGAAGAGGTAGAGCACCATATCCTGGCGAATTGCCGAGATGGTTTGCTCCTGGCGCAGGACAAGCTAAGTGAGTCGGTTCACCCGATATTCCATCCACTCTTGCTCCTGGCCCCCCGGATATTGAAGATCCTGGGGATGATTGCCGAAACCACTTGTGTAGCCCACGGCCTGCGGTGCACTCCCCGAGCTTGGTGGACCCGGTTTGCGCTTTCCTTTGCCCTTGGTGCCCTTGCCCTTGCCTTTGCTCCGATCCTGGGGACCCAGTCGTTGCCTTTTGGACATTTCCGCTGGCAGAGCCGCCTCCTTGTGCGACTCCTGTTCCCTCTTGGGTCCGCTGCTAGTGTCATGGTGAGCGGCTAGGAAGGCACAAATATGTAGAACGTGACATTGCTTCCAATGACGATCTTTGTTGATGTTTCGCTGTTGACAGTAGCGACATGGAACTACCGTGTGTCTGCGGAAACCTGTAAGGAGCTTGAGAGTTTCAGGCTGACAGTCCTTCCACTCTGGATGCTGCATAGTCAGATGGTACTTGATGCTAGTAGGGGTGGCTAGCCATTGATAGCACAGCGGGCAGTGGTGCTGAAGATAAGTCTGAATCTCCGCCATCTCAAGAAGATCGGTCCACCTTCGCGAGCGCAGTGTATCAAGCACTACGGTCCTTTGCTGAAGTGGAATGGCTGCCTGCATCAACGTCGATGAGGCATCAGCACTGAATGCACTTGCCACAGGGAGCACATCCGCCTCGCGGCCTAACACAACTGCTTCGGTGGATGGAGCCTCCTCATCAGGAGAGGCTACGTGGGTCAGTGCCTCAGAAGTGGTAGTTGCAGGTGGCAAGACAGCAGGTAAGTGAGTCTCCAGCTGCACGCCGACCATGGGTGGGGCAGCGATGGGGGACTTGGCAGAAGCTGACGAAGGACCTGACATCGATTTCGTTTAATATGCTTTACCAGCCCATCCCACTGGCGAAATGAGTGAGCGCAGTGCCGACAAGTAGGCAGTCCATCAGTACCGTGTGCATACCTGTCGAAGGGCACCGGTGCAGCAGCCGGTGTCTTAAGTCCGTGCCATTTAGCCTTATGAGAGCGGAGCAGCCGAAAGGAGGTGAAGACACGATAGCATTCCTGACACTGATGCACGGCGGGATCAGTGATGCCCTCGGTGGCATTCACGAGCACCTGCCACTGTCGTTGAACCTGAAGATGGAGTGTAGCAGCAACCTCGCGAGCAGACTCCACCTGCTCACCAGTCACAAAACTCGTCTGAGCACTTAAGCCGTGCAAGCTGTGGTGCAGGGCAGCAGCCTCGCGTTGCAAATGTTCAAGAACAGTTTGCAGGGAGCATCGGTGCAGAAGATCACGAGTAGACTCTTTCTGAAGATGGGCAAATGACCGAGTGATGGCTCGCACCTCTTTGGTCATCATATGCTGCATTCTCAGGATATCCTTAGCCTCCGGATTGGATTCCTGGATGCTGCAATGCCATAGAGCATCGTGGGGAGCACAGTGGAGCTCCACAAGGTGATGCGATGCTTTTGTGCAAGATGTCGAGTGGAGCACAATACACCCCTAAGCCGTTGCCATGCTTGGTTCGCTACTTGCAATCTGTAGGTGACCGCTTGTTTGGCTTGAGAGTGATACGAAATGCGGATGCCGAGGTACGTGTGTTGCTCACGCAACGGTATTTCATATACCTGGCCCGATGGACTGCGAAAGCGCAGCAGATCGCCCTCTGGTGTGCGCTTGAGGTGTCGCCGCAACCAGCCCTTGATA